TCTCTCTTCATCTCCCCCCCTCTCTCTCTCTCCTTCTCTCTCTCTCTCTCTCTCTCTGGCACTCCTGTCCTCACAGAAAGTATGAAAAGGCTCCCTCGAACTCACATACATTGCTGATTGAATAACCCCTCCTCCTCCCTCCCCTCCCTCGAAAAAAATCCTACTAATGTATCTCCGAAAGAATGATATGCAAAAAGAGTGCAATAGAGGAGCAAAAGAGTTGCACTATTTCGTTTTTAAAATTATGCAAAAACAAACGAGACAAGTGATTTTTTTCTCTTACAACTTTCTTACAACGTCTCTTTTCCATATCTCCCCAGAAATGATGTGTAGAGAATGGGACCGGAATCACCATCGACAGTAAAAGCAGCGGCCGCCATCTTTGTCATCGTTGCCATGGTGTCGTCGTCATGGCGACCTACTGTAGCGTCGTCGTCGTCATCGTCGTCATCATGCCCTGCCCCCTGCCGCTGCACCACTCACTACTACGTGTACTGCCAGTCGGTGGGGTTGGAAGATGCTAATCTTTCGACAATTCTCGAAGTGGTACCAGACGATATTCTTCTTCTAGATCTCAGCGGAAACAAACTCAAGACATTATTGGCGAGGGTTTTCGACAAACTACGTCACTTGGAGTACCTCAGCCTGGCAGCCAATCAGATCCCTCGTTTGGGCGATGACGTATTCAGGGGGCTGACGAAGTTGGAAGAGCTCACTTTACACCGGAACGTCATCGAAGAGGTCAGTTCAGGGTCTTTCAACGATCTCAACAGTTTGAAGGATCTTCACTTGGGCGGGAACCGTTTAGAAACTCTGCCAGTTCAAACGTTTGGGAATTTGTCGTCGCTGGAAAAACTACATCTGCAGAAGAATCGACTCCACTCTTTGAGATCTGGTTCGTTTCTCGGACTGTCTAAGGTGCACACTCTCAACCTCAGCCGCAATGCGCTGAGCAGTCTGGAAGCCTACACTTTTAGCGGTCTCTCGTCTTTGACCAAACTGGACATCAGCCGGAACAGTTTGTCCAACTTCTCGGAAGACGCTCTAAAGGGTTTAACCAGTGTGAGAGAGATACTTCTACGGCGAAATAAAATAGCCAGCATCGTTTTCTTGCAAGGGAACGATTTTTATTCTTCCTTGTCTTCTCTTGTTCTGTCCGAGAACCTTCTGGAATCCATTCCGTCCAATGTATTTCCCAGTTATAAAAAACTTCGATTGATCGATCTCAGCTCGAACGCAATTCGGAGAATCGGTGGGCGAACTTTTCATCATTTATCTCTAGACACGCTGTATTTGCAGAACAACAACATTACTATAATCAACAGAGAGATTTTCAACACTGCCAAAAGAATCGCGAATCTCGATCTGACTCAAAACCGGATAAGTGATATCAGAACCGGTTCCTTCGACAGTATCAGGGAGACAATGATATCCTTGGAGCTGGGCTACAATAAATTAACTTTCATCCACCCTGGTATGTTCCGTGGAATGCGCAAGCTCAGGGTGCTCAGCCTGGGTTCGAATCTCGTGTCTGCTCTAGAGCCGGGGTCATTCGATGATTTGGTCACGTTGTCTGAACTTGACCTCTCTGCGAATCAGTTCAAAGTTCTTCATGCAGACTCGCTGAGAGGCCCCGAACGACTTCGAAAGTTGCGCCTGATGTGCAATCCGCTTAAGAGTTTGATCGGATTGAAATTCGAAGACGTGAAGGATCAGATTGTCATACAGATGAACAGTTCAATGGTCGAATCCACATCTCATTCGGCAGTTATTACTTGGCCGTACAAAACCGGTTCTCAACTCTACTGGACCGTTTCTACGACATGCCTCTCTTCCCCACCACAAAGACCACACTGCGGGAAAGCGATACACGATTCGAACCTCGAACCTTACAAAACTCACACGACGGTACGTGGGTTGAGTGCGGGGAGCGAATATTTCGTATGCGTTAACCCCGTGTTTCTATCACCGGATGTGCGTGTTTCGCAGTGCGTGCGTGTGCGCACCACGTCATCATCGGAAGTGCTCGCAACGTCTGCTCAAGGAGCTGTTTCAGAGGAATCCGGCGACGGTAGCTCGGGCCAGCTCCACTCGGGTGTTTCCGTAAACGTTATTCAAGACAGTGTTTCCCGTTTGACTACTGCCTTATTTGGACTTCTGGTTTCATTTGCAGCATTTACAGTGACACTTTCCTGACAGCGGTGGATCAGTTGTTGTTGATGTTGATGTTGATGTTGTTACAGCTGCTGTGTGCTTGTGTGTATATATATATATGTGTGTGTGTGTGTGTGTGTGTGTGTGTGTGTGTGTGTGTGTGTGTGTGTATTTGTATGTGTGTGTGTGTGTGTGTGTGTGTGTGTGTGTCACGACCCAATGGAATCAGGCGCTCGTCAATTTTTGGGCATAAGGGGTTATTGGTTTCATCTTAAAGCTTGTCCACATGTCTTGATTTTGCAGAAAAAAATACCCATCTATCTTGAATAGAAGTCAAGCACTGTGTGATTGAAGGAGGGAGGTTGGGGTAGCCTGGTGTCTCAGGTAAAATTAACGCACACAAAAATAGCCACCAAAGTTCCGTGACTTCAAAAGCTTCAGTGTCCCCAAAACTGCTACTTTACATGTTTGTGCCT